AGGGTAAAAAAAATTGAACAATTATATATGATAAACAGATCGTACTCCGATGAAGACGACTCTTTTCGTGGGGACCATGAAAGATAAGTAATAAATAATTTTACCTATGCTTTAAAAAGTAATTTATAAGTTTCTGACATAATTTTGTGATATGATCAATCACAACTATTAAATAGATAGCAGGTCTTAATAAATGTTGAGAGACTCAGTTAAATCAATCATTGTGATTGATTAAGTCGGTAAATTAAATCAACATGTTAAGTCGAAGTAGAATTGCTCAAACAAAAAACCGTGATGCATCACTTGAGTAGATAAACACTAGAGAGACTTATAACCAAATTCGAAACCCTAGTGTATCGTTTGAATAGATGAATACTTATCATTACTTTGTACTTAGTATTTAAAAATTTAAGAGAGCACTACACTACCGACGTGGTACCATACCTTGTGGACCATTGATCTTGGTGTTGATTTATTTATGACCATTAATCTTAAAGATAATAAAATATAAGAACTTTACTTGTGACATGTTTTGGTTGGCGGAAAATAGGAGAATCCAATAAAAAATTTATATGGTATGTATAGAAAGAACAAAAAGGACAATTTTTATGCTCACCCTAAAAGATAGCTTATAGGTAGAGTAGAGAGAGGTATACACAAATGTATATATGCACACCTGCACGTTGCCTAAAAGCCACATTGAAAGAGCCTTGGAATGGCAAACCCATCACTACCCCTAATGGGACACAAAGGGAAATGGCATTGGACCACAAGACCAAAGGAATAAAGTGTGAAAAATAGGCTCAATTTGGGCACCCCTTCTTGTGCAAAGTGCCTTAAGGGCATGCACCATGCATTTCTATTGTAGGATTGGATGGGGAGGTTTAGGGGCTCAAAGAAGCCTTTGACTGTCCCAAGAGAGTACACCAATATTAGTTACAATTATTTGGAATGCGTACCAAGCAAATGAAGGGCTGTCTGTCTCCAATATAGTTGAGGAGTTACCATATAGGACAAGGCTACTGTATCAAAAAACAAAAAATTATTTATTTATTTAGTTTCATGGTCCGATCAAATGTAGGTCATCGATGCCGAGATTAGGATATTCATGAGAAATAATTTCTTGATGGACTAACTCCAAAAAATTGTCAAGATTTAAACTCATGACATTTGAGTTTATAGTTTTGTCATTGTTACCACTNTTGAAAGAAAAAAGGGTAAAAAAAATTGAACAATTATATATGATAAACAGATCGTAATCCGATGAAAACGACTCTTTTCGTGGGGACCATGAAAGATAAGTAATAAATAATTTTACCTATGCTTTAAAAAGTAGTTTATAAGTTTTTGACATAATTTTGTGATATGATCAATCACAACTATTAAATAGATAGCAGGTTTTAATAAATGTTGAAAAACACAGTTAAATCAATCATTGTAATTGATTAAGTCGGCANAAATAATTTTTTTTACACATATCACATTCCTATTGATCGAAAAAAAAGAATGAATCATACCGAAAATTAACTTTTTATTGCTTAGATGGATACAAGAATATGATATAGATTCCATCATTTAGAATAAATAAACAAGTTGAAGAAACATTTTAGGTTGGAATAGCTCTTTCGAGACCTAATATAAATATTTAATACATTGCACTAATTGAATTTACGACGAGTCCCAAAATTGAATGAAATCCATTGCCAATTTAATGTCTACAGTGCACTAGGTCTCCAAATTAGATTATTGCACAGTATTGTGATTTACATTGTTTGTTAATGAGAAATAAAAAAAAAAAAAGACTCACATATTGTACGAATATAGAACGACACAATCCGAACATTACTACACCATATAATTTTCACTTTTACCCCCAAAAAAATTTCATATTAGATGTGTTTGAGAGTTTGTAGCTATAAAGTATGTGNCTTGGAAACTATTTTGGGACACAAAAATACTACTCAAGATGTAATCTGATATGTACCACAAAATTGGTTAATGCCCCCCCCCCCCCCAAAAAAAAAAAAATTAGACACAACCAAGGACATTGAAAGAAAAAAGGGTAAAAAAAATTGAACAATTATATATGATAAACAGATCGTACTCCGATGAAGACGACTCTTTTCGTGGGGACCATGAAAGATAAGTAATAAATAATTTTACCTATGCTTTAAAAAGTAATTTATAAGTTTCTGACATAATTTTGTGATATGATCAATCACAACTATTAAATAGATAGCAGGTCTTAATAAATGTTGAGAGACTCAGTTAAATCAATCATTGTGATTGATTAAGTCGGTAAATTAAATCAACATGTTAAGTCGAAGTAGAATTGCTCAAACAAAAAACCGTGATGCATCACTTGAGTAGATAAACACTAGAGAGACTAATAACCACATTTGAAACCCTAGTGTATCGTTTGAATAGATGAATACTTATCATTACTTTGTACTTAGTATTTAAAAATTTAAGAGAGCACTACACTACCGACGTGGTACCATACCTTGTGGACCATTGATCTTGGTGTTGATTTATTTATGANAAGTGGCAACAGAGACGAGTTGTACATTCAGACATTCTAAAAATGATTTAACATAATTTCTACCAAATATGTACTAAAAATTAGCGAATCGAACTTAAGTAAGATATTTGATGTTTGTCACGATCCTGAGACAAACCCAAATACTCTTTGAGAATGAATGTGTCAAGTCCGATTAATATTGTGCTTGACTAAATTTGATTCATTTACACCGTATGAGTAAAGTTATTTTGCTATTTAGTGTATGAGTAAGGCTAAATTTGATTCATTAAATGCAATAATTGACACCAAATCTATTTTTATTTTGCTATTTAGTGTATGAATCTCATTGAAATTCAAAGAAATCTAAAAAACTTAACCTTGATGATCAAACTATGCGCAACTTGAGCAATCAAGGGCATCCAAAAAGACAGGGTCTATGTCTGATAAGAACTTAATGTAAAATTATTTATATACACACACACACACATATTTAATCTTAACAAATTTAGATTATTATCAAATTGGCCAATTAAATTAAACTTGTTTAATAAATCAAATGTTCGTGATTGTAAATAATTTTAATACAAAACAATTTATATGACCTATATACAACATAAATTTGATCGAGAAGATAATCATATCTATTTTTTTTTTCAATATCATAACTATAAATAATTTTTGATAATAAATAAATAAATATATATATATATATATATATATATATATATATATATCTATATAATAAAGTACAATACAATATATATAATAAAATATAATACAATTCAAATATTAAAAGATAAACAAAATAATTTTTGTTATTTGCAGTTGAGATATTTTTAAATTTTACTTTAAAGTTAATTCGACGGCAAATATTAACACTTTAAATTTGATAGAAAAAATAAGCTTCTAAGGGTATGTTTGAGGTGACTTTTTAAAAGTATTTTTAATAATTTTAATTTCTTATAAGTACTTTAAAAAAAATAGTATTTAGAACCGTCCCATCAACACCTCTACCACCACCACCATCCTCGCTGCCCCACTGTGACCATCATCGCTAGTGTTACCTTACTACCACCATCACTCCTACTACCCCATCACCACCACCGCCGCCGCCACTACCACTATCACCACCACCACAATTGATGCCACTTTGCCAACACCATCATTGCTATCGCACTCTACTACCACCGCCCCACGACTATCACCACTACGACCACCGCCGCCACCCCACTCCCACCACCCTCGCCACTGCTTCACCTTCACCTTCACCTTAACTACCTCTAATGCCCCACCACCCTAACCACCATAAACCACCCACCACCAATTGCTATCACCGTCACCATCCACTACCATCGTCATATCATTCTTATATTTAATATCATTACCACCATAATCTCATTATCATCATCGCCCACCGTCAGCACCCGCCACTGCCACCGCCACCGCCACCCATTATCACAACCTACCATCACCAGTCGTCACCCACTATCGCTACCAACCACTGTCACCCATCCCACACTACACCAACCACTATCACCCGTTATCACCCACCACTATCGCCACCTACTGTCATCCATTCTCACCACACCTACAACCACAACTATTGTCGCCATTTGTTACCATACATCATAATTGTTTCCTAGAAGCATCCATCATCACTCATCACTACCATCGTCACTGCCCACCACCACACCCAATCACTGCCACCACCACCATCATCATCCCACCACCACCACTACCAACCATTATTATCGTTGCACACTGCCACTAACACCCACCACTACAACCACCGTCACCTATGACTACTACTATCACTATCGTCACCTAAAACTCACCATCAACATCACCGTTGCCACCCACTACTTCCATCATCACCATAGTCGTTATTAACCACCACAAATCATTATCGTCTTCCACCACCACTGCTGCCCATTATCACTATCATTGTTCACTTCTACTATAATTGATATTTAAATTCTTTTCTCTCTTTTTTATATTTGTGATTTAATTTTAAATATGAATACAAATATTTTTATTATTAATTTTTTTTATTACTCTATAAGTACGAACAATAATTTATATATATATACATATATACACAAATCGTAAGAGATTGATCTTACAAAAGTAGGAGATCCAGAATAAAACACTGCAATAAGTCTGCTGTGTGTCTGACTTTCAGCCATTTTCGTAATTACAGAAAGAGAGGAAGGGCAATCAAATATGACATCATCACGACAGCAACCCCCACTATCGCAAACTCTCTCTCTCTCTCTCTCTCCTCACTGACATGAAAGCTGCACTGTCTCTCTCTCTCTCTGACTTTTTACAGAGAGCACAAACACAAAGCCTCGAATACCGACAAAAACAATTCACAGTGGCAAAAGTGTAAAATAATAGGAAACTTGAGTCTGCTTCTGTGAAAACTTTCGTGATTTATTTTGGCGCATTTTAGCACTCTCTCCCTAGTCCCCATTTGAGGAGAGAATCATACAGAGAAGAATAGAAAACCAGATTGAAGCAGACCTCAACAACCCAACACCCTCCTGAACAACCCACCAATTTTCAGAGAGAGAGAGAGTCACAGAAGCCAGAGACTGTTTCCAACATTTCACCCCAGAGAAGCAGAAAGCTCTTTGATTTTCGCTTTGATCCTTCTAGATATATAACTCTCCAATAGTTTTTTTTTTTTTTTGGCTGGGACAAAGATGGAGAAAATCATGGCCAAATACGAGCTCAGAGCTTGTGGGATAGTGTAGGATATTCAAAGGTGCAGCTTTCTTGGGTTCTCTCTCTCTCTCTCTCTAAAGCTACTCTTTGTTTGTCTTCTTTCCCTCTCTAGTATGGGTTGCTGGAGAATGATATCAGGAAGCTTGGATCCAGAGAGGAAAAGGAGTGGTGGGTTGAGAACCAAACAAGCTGGAAGAGGGTCTTGTCGGGGAAGTTAGGCCATATAAGAATTGTAATCAGAAGAATGTTGTATCTCCGGCACTGACTTTCTCTCTCTTGCTATACGTATATATGTTGGTGTTTGTATTTGTATTTTGTTTGTTGTTGAGTTGAACCTTTTAACGCCTGGGAGTCTGTTGGAGTTATGGGGTATTTGTTGAAAGAAGCTTTGAAGACCGTGTGTGGGGTGAATCAGTGGTCTTATGCTGCTTTCTGGAAGATCGGTTGCCAAAATCCTAAGTGAGTCCACTCCTGTTTTGATCTGGTGATAAAGTATTGAACTTTATTGTCTCTGTCTATGTTTGGTTGCTGAGAAATAGAGAAACCTCTGTGTGTGTGTGTGTGTGTGTATGTTTTAATCTTTGGCTTTTAGAACATTGTCAAAACCTGTGTTGGTTTTGGTCTCTCAGCTAAAAGGATGAAAATAATGGAGAATGTACTATCTTGGTCGGATGTTTTGTTTTTGTGGATTTCTGTGTGCCTTTTTGCTTGCTGGGAAAATGGACAAATTGTGTATTCTGGTCTTTAGTTTTCAAAATATCATTTAAATCCCTGTTTGGTTGGTAGGAAACTAGAGGGAAAGAACAGGAATGCAAGTTTCTGTGTTCTGTTGATGGATGTTTTTGTTAAACTTCATTTTAATCTTTTCCTATTAAAATTTTTTGTGCTGACCGCTGTCTGGTTTCCAAGAAAATAGAGAGAAAGGAAAGGAAATTAATAATCGAGCCCTTGTTGGTCACTTCAGCAGGATCATTTCTGACCCCTTCATCTTCACTTTGAACAAACGGAGGATATTTTGTGTTTGTACCTTAATGAAGTAGTTTTTCCTGATGTCAATTAGGGTTTGTTGAAGAATTTTGTATTCTAACTTATGATTTGACTTGCTATAGATTTTTGGATGTTTTTGTCTTGTTTTTTTTTTTTTGTAATTCGATGACTCCATTTTATATTTTTGGACTGTTGTGGTTGGTCTGTTCTGAGTTTTCTTGGGGGGATTTTAGTGGGAAAAAAGTGGCTTTGATTTAGTTTGATGAACCCTATTTATTATTATGATTTGTGTACATAAACTTAAATTCTGATCTTGCCCTTGTTGTTCACTTCTGTGTGTTCTTTTCTTTTTTTTCTTTTTTGTTTCAGACAATTGACCAGTGAAAGTATAATCTTCAGATCTGTGTTTTTTTTTTTCTTTTACTGTTTTGTTTGGGATTCTATGAATGACCATGAATTTTGATGATATGAAATGGTTGCTTGATTTTCTTGATTGCTGCTTTATGAATAAAAAATAATGATGCTTGCAGTTTGTATTTGGTCTTATTCTAACTGGGTTTTGTATTTGGCAGGCTTTTAGTTTGGGAGGAATGTTATTGTGAACAACCAACATACTCTGGTCTTCCCCACGTTTCTGGAATCAAGAGCCCCGAACTGGCTTTCGATGACTGGGAAGCTTGCTGGGCTTCTGTTGAAGGTCGTTCTTCCCAGCTTGTTCAAGCAGGGGACAATGTCCATTCACTAGTAAACAAGTTGATGATGGACAACCAAGTCCATGTTGTAGGGGAAGGGTATGCTTATTTTTCAATTCTGTTTTGTTGGGAACTGACCTTATGCATTTTGCTTTTGGTGATTTTCTAGTGGCAATGAAATACCGGAGGTTTCTGTCTTCAAAACAGTTATATTGTATTTTTTGTTTTTTTCAGACTTGTTGGGCGGTCTGCATTTACCGGGAACCATCAGNAGGTTTCTGTCTTCAAAACAGTTATATTGTATTTTTTGTTTTTTTCAGACTTGTTGGGCGGTCTGCATTTACCGGGAACCATCAGTGGATTCTTTTGGAAAACTGCAGAAGAGAAGCACATCCTCCAGAGGTATATGTTATAGGATGAGTGCTTCAGAGTCAGATTACGCTGAGAATTGAAGTTGATGAATATGGCTACTCAATTGATGTTTACATTTGTACCTCTTTTATTCAGGTAGTATCAACAGATTTGTATCTGATATCTGACCTAAAAAAGACTTTACTTTCTGTGGGTGCTTTCAGGTTCTAAATGAGGTGTGCCAGCAATTTTCAGCTGGCATGCAGGTATTGTAGTTGATAGCTTGGTATTCTCTGGCATGCTTTTTATTTTGATGCTCCATCATGATATTGATGTTTGGTTTGCAGACTGTTGCGGTTATTCCTGTTCTTCCTCATGGTGTTGTTCAACTTGGTTCATCCTTGGCTGTAAGTTCATTCCTTCAAATATCCTATTATTTAATGTAATTTCAGTAACCCATGTGTGCTTGTTTGTAATTTTTTTGAGGTTGTTAATGTTACCTCACTCCTGTAGGCTGGGTTTATACCTTTTGAGTGAACCATGGTCTATAGCAGAGTTTGTTTCTTATATTGACTATTGATTGTTTGTTCTTTGTCTATCCTGTCGAATGCCCACGGCGGTGTTAGTGACACATAAAGAATAAAGATCTCAATCGGTGCTTGCCCAAAAAGATTATTCTTTTCCTTTGTTGTGGGGGTGGTGTGTGAGACTTCCATCTATGCTTTACTCTTGGTTGCTGGCCATTAATTTTGTTCTTGGCTAATAAATACATGAACATACATCAAGCAAAACAATCAGGACCAAGTCTATTTGTTTGTCTAAAAGCATAACAATGTTCTCCACATTAGGTTTTTGTTTGGGTCAATATACAGAACTTCCATGGNAATGCTTTACTCTTGGTTGCTGGCCATTAATTTTGTTCTTGGCTAATAAATACATGAACATACATCAAGCAAAACAATCAGGATCAAGTCTATTTGTTTGTCTAAAAGCATAACAATGTTCTCCACATTAGGTTTTTGTTTGGGTCAATATACAGAACTTCCATGGTTTGGCCAAAATAAAGAATCTCAATACCTGCATACTTCAGAATCAATGATATGGACTAAGCATTACTGAAGGCAAGTATGGCAAATGCAGGATAAAGTACTTTACTTGTAGACCTTATGCTGCAAGAAAAATTGGTGGTAATATNTCCTGCATACTTCAGAATCAATGATATGGACTAAGCATTACTGAAGGCAAGTATGGCAAATCCAGGATAAAGTACTTTACTTGTAGACCTTATGCTGCAAGAAAAATTGGTGGTAATATGGAATCGAAAATTTTCTGCAATGTTTATCTATTCAAAAAGCAAAGGAAGTTTCTTGTTGTTGGACGTTTGTTCTATCTGTTTTACTTATTGAAGAAAAAAGTTTGAATTATTTTTAGTCTGCCCTGCTATTATTTCTAATGCCAGAAATGATCTATTTCTGGTATTTTAATGCATTCAAATTGTCCATTATGATTGTTTGCTTCAAGTTCTTAAACATTTACTGTCCCATCCTTGCTGTCTCAGATTATGGAGAATATGGGTTTCGTGAATAACGTGAAAACCTTAGTTTGTCAATTAGGAAGTGTTCCTGGTGTTTTGTTATCTGACCACCATGTGACAAAAGTTGATCCTCCAAAGATTGGGGTACCCATCTGTCTTGGAAAATCTGTTTGTGTGGATTCATCTGGGAGATCTATGGTGACAAATTCTATTCGTACAAGTGCTGGCAGCTGCAGCCAACAAAGCCAATCGACCCAGGCTTTAGCATTTGCTGGTGAAACTTCTTATCCACAAATGAGACAGACTCAGGATAGCTTGCGGTCTCTTGGTTTGACATTACAAGCTTCTAACATGGACCAAAGTATTTTTAAATCCCACATGGATCACCATGAAGCAAAACTTTTTTCGGCAATAACACCAAACCTTTCTTCAATTAGCCAACTGGAAAAAGGAGTAACAAAAGCTGAAGTGATTCCCTTGAATCCGGAAATATGGTTGAACCAGCATGATTCTTTGTACATTCCAAGGTCTGGAATAGATCAACCACCTTGTTTTGAAAGCCCATCAGCTGCAAATGGTGCCCACATAAGATTAATGGAACGGCAGATCTTGACAGATGCTGGCCTCCAAGATCATTTGAACAGCAGTCTCAAAGCATCGAATGGCTTTATGATGACTCAGCTGAGAACAAATAGAGACCTAGCTTCTACTTCTCACAAAGATTCTGTTCCTATACCATTAGCGGAAGTAAGCGGGTTACGTAATGGTGTTAATAGTCATACGAGAGCAATTTCACAGCAGTGTTCCCTTTCAGATGCAAACAGACATGTTCACAATCGTATATCTTGCCCACATATTGCTGAGAGTAAGCATCAAAATGTGGATTCATCTGAAATTGAGGTGTTTTCATCTGAGTTTGCAGGGCGCTATACTGATCACTTGGTTTCAGGTGGTTTTGGCCTCCGAAATCATAATGATACACCTGACAAATGTTCTCAAATTGAGTTGGCAGTAAGCAAAGAAAGAACAGAAAATGATTTATTTCAAGCCCTTAGCATCCAATTGCCACAACCAGATGAGCATCTGAGTTTCAATGAGCATATTCCTGTTTTGGATTATGATAACCAAAATAATGGCTATGGAACCCAAACTCCAAGGTTGAAAGGTACCAAATATGAAGATTCATGTGTCCAACCTCCATCAGGTGATGACTTGTTTGATATTTTAGGGGCAGATTTCAGAAGCAAACTTTTGAATGGCAGCTCCAACAATCATTTGAAGAAGGGGCAGGAGGATGCAAACACACAAAATTTGGATAATAGTCCTATATCTATGAAATATCAGGGTGCTGGTTCTGACTTGTATTCAGTTAATGAAGGGTACTCTGATAGCGGTAGTTTCTCTGTGACAGGCACTGATCATCTTTTAGATGCTTTGGTCCCGAAAATTCACTTTGCTGCCAAGCAGAGCTTAGATGATAATGTCTCTTGCAGGACGACATTGACAAACCTCAGTAGTTCTTCTGTTCCTGTTGCTTCACCCTCCTATGGCTGGGCGGGGCTGTCCAATCTAATGCAAGGAGATTTATTTGGTACGCCCAAGTCTCTGGCAAAAGTAGGGCAACTGAGCACGAGTTCAATTCGATCTGGATCTTGCAAGGAAAATGCAGGAAACTACTCCCAAAGTCATTCCATTTCTGGATCTCAAATCAGTTCGTGGGTTGAACAGGGCCATGACATGAAGCAGAATGGTAGTGTTTCAACTGCATATTCCAAGAGGCCTGATGAAATCAGCAAATCAAATCGCAAAAGGCTTAAACCTGGAGAGAACCCTAGACCAAGGCCAAAAGATCGGCAGATGATCCAAGATCGTGTGAAAGAGTTGAGGGAAATTGTTCCAAATGGGGCAAAGGTAAATGCCTTTTCTTTGGCCCCACCCTGTGGTGCGCACAAAAAAAAAAAAAAAACCCCACTAATAACATTTCTTGTTAGTACTTGTTTTCATGTTCAGGCATTGATGCCATTCAATTATTTTTGGTATGGTGAACAGTGTAGCATTGATGCACTGCTGGAGCGCACCATCAAGCACATGCTTTTCTTGCAAAGTGTCTCCAAGCATGCAGACAAGCTAAGACAGACGGGAGAGCCCAAGGTGAGGGCACAACCCCTTTTACTACTTTTTTCTATATATCATGCTTCAAAGAAGTCAAAACCTATCCTTATGTCAAAACAATGTTGTGCATTGGGTGATGGTTTTTTTTTGAATTTGGGAGTGGGAGATGGGATGTTTGAATAGAAAATAAAGTATGTCGCTTTAAGTTTCTCAACTTGAAGATATTTTCTTATGATTATTTCTGAAAACATAACCATGAAAATTGGAGAAAGAAGGTCGGTAGTTTTAATTCTATTTGAACATAATATGGGTTAATGGTAAGAGTTTCCAGTATTGCCATTGAATTTGGTAATTTCTACTACACTTGATAGTCGTGATGAAGGATGTTTGTGAGAGCTCTTATGTTCTTATGTGAAACTGTAGATTATCAGCAAGGAGGGTGGATTGCTATTGAAAGACAGTTTTGATGGAGGAGCAACATGGGCATACGAAGTTGGTTCGCATTCTATGGTGTGCCCTATCATAGTTGAGGATCTAAATCCACCTCGTCAAATGCTCGTGGAGGTAGTGACAGCCACCTTTTATATCTCGACATTGATGCGTTATGCTTTCTTACTTGTTAGCTGACTGCACCTGGTAGTTTTTAGTAGCTTGCTATTTATTATGTTCTGTTTGTTTGTGTTTTGTGACAGATGCTTTGTGAAGAACGGGGCTTATTTTTGGAAATAGCTGACATAATTAGAGGTTTGGGATTAACCATCTTGAAGGGGGTGATGGAAACTCGGAATGACAAGATCTGGGCACGCTTTGCAGTTGAGGTAATATTTCTAAGGAGCACTGCCTCAATATTGGCAAATCTATATCATCATTATTGCACATCTTTATGGGACAGAAGTGATTATCACATCCTTTCATAGTCAAATGCATTACATATATATCCAGGTGTCTGAAACAACTTAATCTTCTCTTCCTTGCCTCTTTTCTTTTTGGCTCACGGAAGTATCAGCCTATAAACCATCAGTCTGTTGGGTACAGTACAGATGTATTGTGCTCTTATATGCCAGAGACTAGAGTACAACCNTGGTAAGAGTTTCCAGTATTGCCATTGAATTTGGTAATTTCTACTACACTTGAGAGTCGTGGTGAAGGATGTTTGTGAGAGCTCTTATGTGAAACTGTAGATTATCAGCAAGGAGGGTGGATTGCTATTGAAAGACAGTTTTGATGGAGGAGCAACATGGGCATACGAAGTTGGTTCGCATTCTATGGTGTGCCCTATCATAGTTGAGGATCTAAATCCACCTCGTCAAATGCTCGTGGAGGTAGTGACAGCCACCTTTTATATCTCGACATTGATGCGTTATGCTTTCTTACTTGTTAGCTGACTGCACCTGGTAGTTTTTAGTAGCTTGCTATTTATTATGTTCTGTTTGTTTGTGTTTTGTGTCAGATGCTTTGTGAAGAACGGGGCTTATTTTTGGAAATAGCTGACATAATTAGAGGTTTGGGATTAACCATCTTGAAGGGGGTGANTCAGATGCTTTGTGAAGAACGAGGCTTATTTTTGGAAATAGCTGACATAATTAGAGGTTTGGGATTAACCATCTTGAAGGGGGTGATGGAAACTCGGACTGACAAGATCTGGGCACGCTTTGCAGTTGAGGTAATATTTCTAAGGAGCACTGCCTCAATATTGGCAAATCTATATCATCATTATTGCACATCTTTATGGGACAGAAGTGATTATCACATCCTTTCATAGTCAAATGCATTACATATATATCCAGGTGTCTGAAACAACTTAATCTTCTCTTCCTTGCCTCTTTTCTTTTTGGCTCACGGAAGTATCAGCCTATAAACCATCAGTCTGTTGGGTACAGTACAGATGTATTGTGCTCTTATATGCCAGAGACTAGAGTACAACCAGATCTGATTGTAATAGATATACCCTGAAAGTCGTGTTTATTCGTGAATTTAGAAAATGTCATAAAGTGCCGAATTAAATTGGTTACTTGTGAAATGTTATATGTTAAATCTTCACAGTTACAGAATATCAACTGTATGTGGTCTCTTGTATGACTACTAGACAAGTTTTACCACATGAATGGCCCATTATGCTATACCTCAAAACACTTTTAAGGAAATAGGAAAAGAGAGCTTAGTATCCTCCAAAATTTACAAAAACATGTCATAGGGCTGATTTCTTTCGTTTAAAGATGTTGCAGCCATTGGAAAATATGGATTTCACATTTGTTTTGTTTGTTCTTTTCTTAAATTGTACTTGCTCTGAAGTGAATTTCTCATCATCCAATGATATTAATCCGTAGTCTCATTAGTTTATTACTCTTGATCTGTATTTAAAATGTGGAATCGCTCATTCAAACCTTCTTCAGATGCAAACAGGAGTTGAGTGTTGATTTTAGCATTGGTTTTGTTAGGTTTTCTAGTACAAAAATAGCTTGTGAATAGCATGAAGAGGCTAACATGGTTTCATCGATTACGTATTTCACAGTTGGAAAGTGGAAAAATATGCATTNAATGCATTACATATATATCCATGTGTCTGAAACAACTTAATCTTCTCTTCCTTGCCTCTTTTCTTTTTGGCTCACGGAAGTATCAGCCTATAAACCATCAGTTTGTTGGGTACAGTACAGATGTATTGTGCTCTTATATGCCAGAGACTAGAGTACAACCAGATCTGATTGTAATAGATATACCCTGAAAGTCGTGTTTATTCGTGAATTTAGAAAATGTCATAAAGTGCCGAATTAAATTGGTTACTTGTGAAATGTTATATGTTAAATCTTCACAGTTACAGAATATCAACTGTATGTGGTCTCTTGTATGACTACTAGACAAGTTTTACCACATGAATGGCCCATTATGCTATACCTCAAAACACTTTTAAGGAAATAGGAAAAGAGAGCTTAGTATCCTCCAAAATTTACAAAAACATGTCATAGGGCTGATTTCTTTCGTTTAAAGATGTTGCAGCTGTGCCAGGCTTTCATTGGAAAATATGGATTTCATATTTGTTTTGTTTGTTCTTTTCTTAAATTGTACTTCCTCTGAAGTGAATTTCTCATCATCCAATGATATTAATCCGTAGTCTCATTAGTTTATTACTCTTGATCTGTATTTAAAATGTGGAATCGCTCATTCAAACCTTCTTCAGATGCAAACAGGAGTTGAGTGTTGATTTTAGCATTGGTTTTGTTAGGTTTTCTAGTACAAAAATAGCTTGTGAATAGCATGAAGAGGCTAACATGGTTTCATCGATTACGTATTTCACAGTTGGAAAGTGGAAAAATATGCATTGAGAAAATGGAAGAAGTACAATAGTACTTCAACTGCATTACATGGCTGGAAGCCCTGAAATTCCCTATTTAGAAATTATCAAGTACCTGAATGGGAGTCAATTAACGTTTGGTGTTTTAGCCCATAAAGCTTGATGAACAATTTTTCTGCAGTCTGCTTAGGATCGGACACAGTAGGATCAATTTTTCTTAGTTTATGATGGGTATCATCATTTCCTCTCTGTCGAAACGATGCATCAGCGTGTTCCTTTGTTATGGGTGGTTGCATGCTGCCTGAATAAATATGTGACTAGCCCAAGTCAAGATCTTATTATGCATAGTATCTTGTTAGCCAACCGCTATGCTATGTCTATATTGTTTTCTTTCTCATGGAAAGTGGGTATACATCTACCAAAACGACTTCCTCTTTGAACAGTAAAGAGGGAAAGAAAAAAATCAAATAAAAAAAAAAAAGGGGTCAGTCTTCCTTAGTATCCATCTATAATTCTAATTCTAGTAAAAGCCAGGTAAAAAATTTCAGAAGAATTGGGTTGGAATGAATTTCCTATCATTTGTATCCCTTTCCTTTCGAAATACAAACATGGGAATCAAATGACCGAGTTAACAAAATTATTTTGTCTAATAACACATTTAACCTATTGATGTTTGTATTTCTAATGTTAGATTTTGCAAACAGGCTAACAGGGATGTGACCAGGATGGAAATATTTCTCTCACTTGTTCAACTCTTGGAGCAAACTATGAAAAGTGGTTCAGCAGCAGCTAAGGGCATTGTCAATGATAATGTGATGATACACCAGTTCCACCAAGCTCCTTCAATACCTGCAACCGGTGGACCTTGCAGTTTGCGGTGAGTCACTTTCTTATCCGATTCTGGCCTGGATATGTTGAGAGTGGGCGCAGTTAAGCTTTGCCATGATGTGATGATCCACCAGTCCCACCAAGCTCCTCCGATACCTGCGACCGGTGGACCTTGTAGCTTGCGGTGAGCCACTTTCTTATCTGATTCTGGCCTGGATATGTTGAGAGCGAGCGCAGTTAAGCTTGCCATGACCAACATTTATATATGACCGATCTTTCCAGTGTCCCAGTGGTTCTAAACCTGACATTTTTGTCTACCATAAACTTTAACTGTTTGACCTCACCTTCCATAAGGAGAGAGATTTGTTTAGGTTGTAATGTACATTTAAGAACTTCCATGTAATTTGATTTGAATCTGGATATCTGTAAGTGGCATGTATCAATCAGATGAAGAATTTTCTTTTCACAATTATCCTTATAAAATTTCGTCCCCTTGGGTATATGTAATTATACTTTTAACAGAAAACTTTTTTCTTTAAAAAAAATTGTAGGGGGAAAGGGGGTAGTGGTGTATGGGAGCAATGAATTTGTAAGTGTGTTCTCATTTAACAGATTTATGGCAACAATAGGACAAAAAGAGTGTACAAATTGCTGACTGTTTGACGAGCCTAATGCAATATGAATTTGGTTATACATAATCATAAATGAATTGGTATGAATTTAACAAATATTAACACGATAAAATTAGGACCTTTTAGACCCGAAGGACTCACCTGTTTTGTATGGTGGCCGACTGTAAAGAAAGCAAACTTTTCTATTTTTTTTTGGCAGATACTCTTCTCAAACCCTGCAGTGATGACAACTTCATGCAGTCAGCCGCTTTTTTTTAATGGTGTACGACTGCTTGGTGGAAATAGGGTTTAGCGTGGCAATTCCTTCAACATTTTGANGGAAAGTGGGTATACATCTACCAAAACGACTTCCTCTTTGAACAGTAAAGAGGGAAAGAAAAAAATCAAATAAAAAAAAAAAAGGGGTCAGTCTTCCTTAGTATCCATCTATAATTCTAATTCTAGTAAAAGCCAGGTAAAAAATTTCAGAAGAATTAGGTTGGAATGAATTTCCTATCATTTGTATCCCTTTCCTTCCGAAATACAAACATGGGAATCAAATGACCGAGTTAACAAAATTATTTTGTCTAATAACACATTTAACCTATTGATGTTTGTATTTCTAATGTTAGATTTTGCAAACAGGCTAACAGGGATGTGACCAGGATGGAAATATTTCTCTCACTTGTTCAACTCTTGGAGCAAACTATGAAAAGTGGTTCAGCAGCAGCTAAGGGCATTGTCAATGATAATGTGATGATACACCAGTTCCACCAAGCTCCTTCAATACCTGCAACCGGTGGACCTTGCAGTTTGCGGTGAGTCACTTTCTTATCCGATTCTGGCCTGGATATGTTGAGAGTGGGCGCAGTTAAGCTTTGCCATGATGTGATGATCCACCAGTCCCACCAAGCTCCTCCGAAACCTGCGACCGGTGGACCTTGTAGCTTGCGGTGAGCCACTTTCTTATCTGATTCTGGCCTGGATATGTTGAGAGCGAGCGCAGTTAAGCTTGCCATGACCAACATTTATATATGACCGATCTTTCCAGTGTCCCAGTGGTTCTAAACCTGACATTTTTGTCTACCATAAACTTTAACTGTTTGACCTCACCTTCCATAAGGAGAGAGATTTGTTTAGGTTGTAATGTACATTTAAGAACTTCCATGTAATTTGATTTGAATCTGGATATCTGTAAGTGGCATGTATCAATCAGATGAAGAATTTTCTTTTCACAATTATCCTTATAAAATTTCGTCCCCTTGGGTATATGTAATTATACTTTTAACAGAAAACTTTTTTCTTTAAAAAAAATTGTAGGGGGAAAGGGGGTAGTGGTGTATGGGAGCAATGAATTTGTAAGTGTGTTCTCATTTAACAGATTTATGGCAACAATAGGACAAAAAGAGTGTACAAATTGCTGACTGTTTGACGAGCCTAATGCAATATGAATTTGGTTATACATAATCATAAATGAATTGGTATGAATTTAACAAATATTAACACGATAAAATTAGGACCTTTTAGACCCGAAGGACTCACCTGTTTTGTATGGTGGCCGACTGTAAAGAAAGCAAACTTTTCTATTTTTTTTTGGCAGATACTCTTCTCAAACCCTGCAGTGATGACAACTTCATGCAGTCAGCCGCTTTTTTTTAATGGTGTACGACTGCTTGGTGGAAATAGGGTTTAGCGTGGCAATTCCTTCAACATTTTGACTGTTGTATATGATGCTTGTGTTTTGGAGCATTGAATATTTTTTTTGGTTATTGAGAACCGAGTACAAGTAAGAAGTTAAGGAAAGCTATTGATAGGTCTTTAGTTTAATGATACTTCTTATCTTGTAAAGATTTTGTCTTTTTTTTTAAGGTCAAGGGATCAAGTCCCTCTTCCCACCCCACCCCTCGCCCCC